CTGCATTGTTGCTCTTCAACCTAACGAAAAAAAATTCCAAAAAAAAAAAAAAAGATATCGGTAAGCAGAAGAGGCTAACATTGAAATCTGCGAAGCAATCGCTATGATATAAAAAAAAATATTGACTCAGAAGTTACAACAAAGCAAAGCAAGGAATAAAACTCACTTGCTGTCAGTTTCTTCGAATCAGCCTTCGATCTAGCACCTTTTCATGGCGAATCCTGCACCAAAAACAATCAAAATCAATGAGAATCGTTTAAAGATCGGTCGGAAGGATGCAAACATGACTAAGTCGCTACAGCGAGTTACCTGAGAGTTAGGGTTTTTGGAAGAGAAGGAGGCGCGAGCGAGAAAGAGAGGAAATAGACAATTCGATTTGGTGTGGTGTGGATCGTGAAATAGGCAAAGGGGGAAAATAAATGGACAAAAAATTGAGTCCGCGCTTGGGCGGGATTTCAAAACTTTTTTCCACCACGTCAGTAATCTGTGTGCTTTTCTGCTATTCGCGCGGTTTAACAATTTAGAGGTTACTGTATGCTTCATTTGTGAAAAATATAAGGCATAATATTTTTGTATAATTATATGTTATTTAAATAAATAATTTATTTATTTATTTAAAATTTGTTATATTGGGTGTAATTATTAATTTAAAGAGAATGAAGATTTTTAAGTTAAGCTATGCATGAAGTACTTAAGAGAAAACTCTTCAAATTTAGCTGACATAGAAGTAAATTGGAGTATTTGAGTACATTTTAAAACTCTTCAAATTTGATTGTTTTTATGAATTATTAAAATGAGCTCAAATTTATTTATATTTAGTTGAGAAATAAAGAGAAAAGAAGTGAAGGAAAATTATATTTTTCTATTATCTTTTTTTTTTATCTAAATAAATAATTAAAATCTGCAGATGGTTGTGAAAAGCAGCAAACATACTAGGTCTATCCATACTCCAATCAAATTTAGCTAAGAACAAAAATGCGAATGGCATTAGAGAGTAAAATAATGGTGAGATTCATCAATAATAAATCAAATACAAAAGCAGAAAGGAAGAAGCAATAAATTATGATAAGAGTGATAGATGCAGCCAATGACTAGCTCAAAGTGCAGGATTATAAAATACAGCAAGACATGATTTTCCAGCATTCAAGTTCAGTCAACATTCTTCATTCAATTGTGTATTTCTTGTTTTCCATATAAGCAAACATGTATATTTAACTGATAGAAGAGAAAAATATCAAATCTCATTAACACCAAAGAATCTAGGCGAACAGTGAAGTTACTGAAGTATCAAAATTATGCAAAAATTCATGACAACAGGATAATTAAAGTTTCCCAATCTCTTTGGCAATTCGTTCAAAAGCAAACATAACCGTATGTTGGGTAAAATTAGTTTGAATATAAACTAGACCTTCACTTCTTCCGAGTGTTATCAAAGATTTCTCAAAAATACAAATTTAGGCCTTGGATTTCTTCCCTTTGGCCTCAGCAGCTGGTTTGGTCTTGAAAGGCAGAAAGGTTTTCCCACCCATGAATGGACGTAAAGCTTTTGGAATTTCAACACCATCTTCTTTTTGATAATTCTCGAGAATGCAGCACATTGTCCTTTCCGTTGCTGTGAGGGTTGAGTTCAGCAAGTGAACTTATTGCTTTGTCTGCTCATTGTTCTGCAATAGGGAAAAAAAACAGATTAAAAATCAGTAAATCACTAACAAAAACAAATTAATGTTGCGTGGCATAAGGTTGGTGCATATGTAACAAACAAAAGTCAACCCCAGACCCACCTTTTTCTGGCCATATCGGGTTTCTAATTTTCTTGATTGATAGTCTGTGCAATTACAAGAATTCGTTCCTACCCTTGTTATTTCTTGCATTTACTTTACCTCACACTTTCAAGTCAAGAACCTTTTGACCCAAACCAGGCTGCAAGATGATATGTGGGAGAAGGAAGGGTGGTTGGCCTCTCTAAAATTACAGAAAAAGTTGGAGACTGATAGAGAA